AATTAGAACCATTGTTGCTCATTATTTTGCAAATACAAGTTTTCAAATAAAATTAAAATAGTGTTAGCTTTTCTGTATGTTTAGGATGGATAGCATATTTATGCATTGATGATATTTTGGGATAATTTTGACTTGGGCATTTCAAGGCAGCATTTAGAATGTGCATGATTTAATTTCTAAAATCAAGTAGTTTACCGTCTTAATCTTGAATGACTTAAAAATATAGTTAACCCACTGAAGTTAAGAATGTCTTTCTCCTCTAAACAACTGAAGAACATAACACCATTGTTAGGTGCTTCTGGGAAAGGTGTTGGGAGGGTCGAAATTATACAGTAAATTTCAGGAAAGCTGTTCAATTAATTAAAGTGATCACTACCCAATTGCTTACATCTGGTGATTTATAGAGGTTTGTTTTTACTTAGGGCCCGGGTCAGCCAAGTCACTGGTGCAGCCGCTGTGTCTGCTTTCCTCTGTTTGAATAAGAACTAAGTGACATTTGATACTGATGTGGTTTTTTCCAAAGATCAGAAACAGAAAGGAATGAAAGAAAAAGCAGTTGATATTTGACAAATAAACACACTGAATTTAAGAAATATCTTTATGCTAGCATCAATATCTGCTTTCTTGTCTTTCACCATTGCTTAAAAGTTTGGAGTCTAAATGAAGCCCTGGCTTTGGTATCTGAAACATCTTTCGCTATTCTCATTTGACCACAGGGGCCTTTTTAAATCTCAGGGACTGCCACGTCACCCTTCTGTTCCTGTCCTGTGTATTGGCAGATTCCATCAGCATGTTCAAGAGAGCCTTGAGGGGGGTCAGTGCATGCTTCATGGCTGAGAGCATTTGCAGCGGAGTTTCAGAGTGTGGGTGGGACAGGGAAAACAGTCTTCTCTTTGGCTTGCTACAGAGGTAAAAGCATAAGAACTGGTAAGGGAACTAGAAGGTTCTATTGGGAATAAATAACCTAGTGATTTTGCACTTTGTAGGCATAATTTGTAATTAGAAAACTGAAAATGTGGAAACGTAGAAACCTTCTGAATTTGAAATCATCGTCATGTTTTGTTTGTGTTTCACTTTAGGGAATGCTGAGTTCCAATCTTTTGGGAACTTGGGTAATCTCACTTTCTTTCCCCTCAACTTGTTGCAGTACATCTAACCAGACTGCCTTATTCATCTGCCTAGTGATAGATCCTTTTTATTACCTAGATCACATAGAATCTGTGAAAAATAATTTATGTGATGGGCTGCTAATTCAACATGGATGCTAAATTTGTTCTTATGCCTGTGAAATACCTTGACAACTTCACTCTCTGCCTGTTTTCTTCTACAGATGTTTTGTTTTTTTTCCTGTAGGCTTCATTGGCTATTGTAGTACACAATCCTTGTTTCGAAAGCACTATTGCTTTCTGCCTTGTCTTGTGTAGGGAGAACTCGTGTGTGTGTGCTTTTTTAATATAGAAGCACTGGAGAGTAGTCAGAGCTAAAAGTTAATTCTCATCTATTTCTGAAATTTCAAAAAAAAAATTTGTTGAAACACATAGCATGAGTCAGATTAGAAATCTGTAGCACCACAATTAACTTCTTCTAAAGAAGTTCTCGGGATTATTTTACTTTTATTCTATCAAGATATATTTTTTATTTTAACAATTTGTGTAGGAAATCATTTCTCCAGGTAATTTGCACAAGTTTAATTTTTAAACGTATCAAAGAAAAGGAAAAGTGAGTTGGAGTCTTGAGCATGAGATTTGGTGTCAGTGCTCTATACTTCTGTTCTGTGCAGTGGGGACCCCTCCCAGGTCGAGGGGCTGGCTCAGAGAAGACCAGAGAAGACCTGGTTAGATGCTTTTCCTCTCTCAGCTGCAGGCGCTAATATTGGGTCGGATGGCACCCCATGTCCAGGGATGAGTTTATTTAAGGACCAGTCCTGATGTCCGGAAAACGTGGCTTTTGTCTTAAGTTGGCCATTGGGTGAGCCTTGAATCTGCTCATTCAGAAGCCTCATGCTAACATTTCTAGGGATTTTTCAGGATATAAAAGGCCTGAACAGACTTGCTTTTCTTTGAATCCCACACAGTACTAGCTCAGAAGTCAACTGGCATTCTAAGGGCAATTTTTGTTTTCTGTTCATTTTTCTCTCACAATTATTTCCCACCCGTGGCAGGGTGGTATGTTTTAGGAAAAGAGATGGAATAGTATTTGGAATGAACACGTTTTGTGGTAAGACTGTTGACCTGGCATAAGTGAGTTGTGCTCACCAGATGTGATAGGTTTGGCTTCCTGTGATGTGCGTGAGCTGCTTAAGCAATGGGGCACTTGAAACTTGTGACCTGGATTGGGTCTTGTTTGAATCCATGATTTATATAACACTCGTGGCCCAGTGCACAGATTTGTGCACATTGAAAGGAAATGAATTAGATGAAACACTTTAATACCACTATTTGCCCTTTATAATAGAAGTGTCAACCAAATTCACGATCCACAATGACAGATCAAAACGCATGCACAATTGGTGCCAGCGAGAGCTTTATATGTTTCAGTCATGCGTGAGTCAACTTAGCCTTTTATATATATGTATATGGAATAAACTTATTTAATTAGACCTGCTTTCTGATTTAGCTAAACTTTTTTGCAGCCCAGTGAAGCACCCCAATTTGTCTTTCAGGTAATTGTCAGAAACACAGCAGTAAATATCAACACAAAACAGATTATTACTGTAGATCATGCAGGGTCATAAGGTGACCAGATCATCCCGCTTTTGGCAGGACAGTCCTGATTTTCAACCATTTTTTCCTCGTCCCGCGGCATTTTAAAAAAATCCCTATTTTTGGAAAGATTGGAAAGATTCTTTCCAAAAATCAGGACTTTTTTAAAACGCCACGGAACGCAGGAAAAATTGTTGAAAATCGGGACTGTCCCGCCAAAAGTGGGACAATCTGGTCACCTTACCAGGGAGAACAAAGGGTAAAATATCTAACTGCAGCAGTGTTCGTTTGACTATATTCCGCACAGTGAGAAAACCTGAAGTCATTTTCAAGCTCCACCATTTCTTGTTTTCAGTCGGGTCAAGCTTATAAACTTTTAAATCTCCATTTTCTGGCTAATAAAAAGAAAACAGGATTCCACCGAGTCTCCTATCTACCTACTCCAGGACTTCTGTGAGGATCAAATGAGATGAAGCAGGAGAAAACGCTTCACAGACTTTTGGTTAAATGTTTGCACTTGCCAATAAAGCAAGCTGTGTTACTGGGCTGAAGAAACTCCAAGGAGGCTAGTCGCTAGGGAAAGGAAGCCAGGCGTTGCTATGTGACGTCATTACCTGGTGCTCACAGCCTCGGTTTCCAGGTTGGGCTGGGCTATGGGCTGCATTTTGCGCCATGGGGTCCTGGAAGCATTGGCTACAATTTGGTGGGCTGTCACTCCGGGGTGGTGGTGGGCCTGCATCTCACTTGGGGGAATCCAAGTGTTGGTTTGTGGGCACCAGGTCCGAAGTGCTGTTTTTTTGTAAATGGCCAGTGTGCATCATGGCAGCTCCTGTGTTGTGTGTGTGCCCCCTGGTGGTCAGTGCGTGTCTCATAGCAACTGGTCAGAGAGTCAGTGGGACACTTAGCATATTATAGCCTTTTATACATACATTATATAGATAGGTAATTGTTGAATAAGTGAGGAGCTATTGGTCATTGAGTAAAGCTAGTTGAGCCTTAGTCTTGACATTGATGGTTTATATGGGATTGCCCAACATGCAGATACTTGCCTGCTATCTTAGAGATGGAAAGGTTTAGATGAGGGAATGTCCAAGAGGTACCTAGAGTACCTGTTACAATCATAGATTTCCTGACCCAGTCCTTAGAAATTCTAAATTAATGCATTTGGGTGGGGCCCAAGAATATCCATTCTAACACATCTGCCTGGCTGATTCTAAGCAGAAATTGCGTAAATATTTTTAGAATTACTGACGGAGTCCCGTTTACCATGATCAAATAAGCATTTTTCTCATTATTTCTTATCTCAAAGGTAGAGCATTTCTCCCGAGTTCATTGTTTTCATCATAATACTTATTTTTCCAGAGATGACATTTGTCGTCCTTCCCAAGAAGTTGTTATAAAAAAGGATCAGATTTGCTTTCTGAAAGCGTCACCCTGGCTTTCGTGTGGAGCGTGGCTTGGAGGTGGCAGGAGGGTGGTTTCCATGGGGCCGGTGATGCGGAAATACTGAGTTTGGGCAGGAGGGATGACGGGGCTGCCGTCCTTCGTCCTTCCACAGAGCAGCTCCGTCATGTCCGTCAGACACTGCGAGGCGCGCGTCAGATGGCTCAGCATTAATTGCTGGCGCTTCCTTCCCTTTGCTGGGTTTGGGGCCGCGGACACGTTACCGTCCGTCTGTGTTTCCCCATCTGTGAAATGAAAATAATAATGCCCACCTCCCGGGGTTGTGAGGGTTTGGGGAGAGAGATGGGTAAGACCCACTGGCACATGCTCAGTGACTAGAAGCCATGGTCGTGATCGTTCATTCCCCTAAAATCTGTGGGATCGATGAGCAGGGCCAAGCTCCATTCCAGGGCTGGGGACAGGGCAGTGAGCAAAGCAGACGGGGTCCCGCCTGTCAGGAAGCCTCCATCCTCCTGAGGGTTGAGAAAAAATAAACAAGTGAACAAGCTTTAAAAGAAAACTTGAGTTCTCCATAAGGACTCGGAAGCCAAAGGGAAGAGGACAAAGGGACGGAGAGCTCTGGCTGTTGCCCTTTAAGGTGGGAGGGGAAGACTCCCTTTTGAATATTCACCAAACCCTACTGTGTGCTTGGCACTTGCTTTAGGGTTGAGACTCAACAGTGAACAAAATAGCTAAAAGTCTCCGCCCTCAGGAGCCGCCCCTCTCGAGGAAGGAGAAAGACAAAAACGTAACATAAATAAGAAATGTGGCCAGAAGGTGGTACGTGCCAGGGAGGAGTCTAAAGCAGAAGGAGGTGGGAGAGGGGTTGACAGTTTTAAGTGGGGACTTGTGACAGTTGAATTGGCCTGAAGGTGGGGAAGGGCGTCCTGGGAGGAACCTGGGGGGGAGGTCGCCTCGTGTCCTCTGCCCTCTCGCCTTGTCTGTCTGGAATTTGTTTGTCATTTTCTCCCCTCCTATGCCGCGAGGCCTCTGTGGCTCCCTCTTGTTTCTCCCAGCACCTAATGTTAGATGTACAGCCCGTCGTTGGTGCTTAATTAGTATATGCATTAAGGGATATTTATGGAACAGCCGCATGCAGTTAGCATAATTCAAACAGATCTCCTATAAACTCGGTCTGTACCAGTGGCTAAAAACTTACCGTGGAGACAAAGCATACCTGTGTTTCTCTTAATTTATGTTCCATTATGTGTGCTTGGTTTAAAAAAAAAAAAAAAGATTATAATAACAGCAATGATAATTAAGGAAAAAAGAACAAGTGAAGTAATTTAAGCAGCATACGGATTTAAGCTCCCCACTGTAGCCAGTGAGCACATGCCCGGAGTGTGTACAAAATGAAAGTGTTTGGGAAGTTAAAAACCCCCCTCTCCCGTTTCTCCTTCTTCTGAGGCAGGGCTGGGGAACATCTGGCCCATGGGCTGTACGAGGCCCAGGAAATCATTGGGTCTGGCCCTGCCAAGGCATTAGGGGGGAGTAAATGAAATGTTTGACCCAACACAGCAGGCTAATTTTTAAGTTGATCATTTTGTATGGCCCGCGAAGGATGTTACAAATACCCAAATGGCCCTTGGCAGGAAAAAGGTTCTCCACCCCTGTTCTAAGTGGACATCTTGACCCGCTGAGCATGACTTAGGTCTTCAGAGATACAGATGTTTCCTAGCCCCTTTGCCCATCCCACATGGGAACTGCATCATCAGGTCCCGAACTAAAAATCCAAAATACAAACTAGCCCTATGCGGGACTCACTGAGATAGACCGAAAGAAAATGTCTGCCTAAAAAGGATTTGCTAGTATGTTGAGGGATCTTTAGGGATAATCATTCATGATAACTGCCCCCCCCCTCCCCTCCACTGGTCTTAGAACCTAGTGCCATGTGTGATGGGGTTCCGTCACGTCCTGTCCTCCTGTGTTGGGGATGCTTTGGGGCAGTGGTCGGCAAACTCATTAGTCCACAGAGCCACATATCAACCGTACGACGATTGAAACTTCTTTTGAGGGCCACTTTTTTTAAACTTCAACTTCTTCTAACACCACTTCTTCAAGATAGACTCGCCCAGGCCGTGGTATTTTGTGGAAGAGCCACCCTCAAGGGGCCAAAGAGCCACATGTGGCTCAAGAGCCGCAGTTTGCTAACCACTGCTTTAGGGAGCCAGGAAAGTATGAGAATCATAGTTGCCTCCAGGATCTGATGCATTTTATAAAGAAGCATCCTGGGTGGCGGGGAGTAGAGAGTATTGGGAACTGGTTTGTGTGGCCTTGTAGGATTCTGAGAAGGGCGTGTGACTTTTCTTTTATTCTCTGGTTTTGAAACTCACACAAGGACAACGTGTGGCGTTCTCCACTGGCCATTGTCACACATCTCATTCCGGGGTTGGACTCACGTCCTGCTGAGCTCTCAGTCCCCTCAGAAGCCCCGCCCAGTCTCTGGCACGTAGGAGAGGCTCCGTAAGCATGAGGGGGCGAGCGACCATAGGCCCCTGTGCGGCAGGGGAGAGACCTGAGCCGGGAGTGGGGTGCACAGGTTTTCGTCTCATCTCACACTAATGACCTGTCTGGCTTGGGCAGAGCTAATTAACTTTTCTTTGTTTATCTGTGAAAACACAGTAAGATGTTTCTCCACCTCTCATCTGGTGCCGGGGAAGGATCAAATGGCCTGATGTACAGGAAAGGGCCCTGAGCAGAGTGAGCAGCAGCAGCTGCTGCTGTTACAGCTGCAGCGAATGGGCTTGGCCGGGCAGCAGAGACGAGAGGCAGTGAGCCAAAGTGGGCTCTGCAGCAGGAGGGTCACAGGAAGAAGAAGACAGGATTTGGAAACACTATCCTGACAGCAACAGAGAAGGGAGGAGAAAGAACTTTGCATTCGGGGTGAATTTTCAGGAAACTTTTGTTTGCTTCAAATAGTTTTAAGAAGTGGGTGAGCATCCAGTTCTAGTTGGTAATTGAACAAGGGCTTGTGTACTAAAAGGCGGATTTTGAGCCGTATTTAAATGATTGCCCATCGACAAGGCCTAATAAGTGCTAAGTGGTTGGGAACAAAGAACAGTAAGATTTGGCCTCTACTTAGAATAATGATAACAAGGGGAAGAGAGCCAGTAGAGAGAGACTGCTGAGAGAGTGCCGCCTGGGATAGAGAGTTGCTTGGGCTGCCCCAGTGCAGAGCTGTGCTTTCAGGAAGTGTGGACGGGGGGAGTATGAGGTCCAGGGGAGGACAGAGACTCGGGTAAGTTGGTGCAGATCAGCTCAGATGTCTTACAGGTTTGGGAGAGTTACTGCAGACTTTTTAATGCAGGGGGGGTGGAATGCTCACACTTCAGGGAAGCACGGAATCTGCCTTCCTCCTTTTTCTCGAGTCATTACTAAATGGTGTTCCTTTTCTGAATCGAGTGCCCTGAAGACAGACAGATAGCGTGACTTTGCTACTTATCAGTTATGACTTACTCAGCGCCTGTTCCCCATCCATCCTTGGAACTCTGAGCCCCGCTCTATGTTGTGGCCACATCTCTTTCCTACAAAGGGAAATTGACCATGGGGTGGGTGTCATTTGCATATGGACTTCTGAAAAGGGTACATGTGAACTAGGGGTTAGAAATCTGATCAACAGTGGTCTGTTACTTAGAAACCGAACCCAGTACTATATTCAATGAGGCAATTTCATTCATAAGCATGCATTTCCCATTTCCTTCCAAAAAGCAGACTAAGGGAGGGAAATCAGTTTAAGAGATAGTGATTTAAAAGATTATTGATGCGCCGAAACCGGTTTGGCTCAGTGGTAGAGCGTCGGTCTGTGGACTGAAAGGTCCCGGGTTCGATTCCGGTCGGGGGCATGTACATTGGTTGCGGGCACATCCCTGGTGGAGGTGCAAGAGGCAGCTGGTCGATGTTTCTCTCTTATCGACGTTTCTAGTTCTCTATCTCTCTTCCTCTCTGTAAAAAATCAATAAAATATATTTTTTAAAAAAAGATTATTGATGGGCTGCTTGGCTCAGACTTTATTTAAATAATCAAACTCAATTTATAACTTTTAAAACATTGATATTTTAATAGTTCACAACTCAGAGGTAAAGCTCTGCCTATAAGGAAAGCAACCATTATATACGTTTTCAAATGCTGAGGTAACTTGAGTAATTTTATGTCTCTGCAGCACAGCTCAAAGTGTTATTAGTTGTTTTTAAACCAAAACCTATGTGAGTCGATATTTGAAAAGTGGTTACCGTTTGTCATATTAATTATGGCAATTGGGGAGCAGCTTTAGTCAAAATTAGAGCTTAAGTTTCTGGGGAATGGGGGAATATTGTTCTGATTTAGTGGACATAACTCATGTCCCATCTTTACCCACATCTGGGTATAGATGAGTCCATGGAATGGGATCACCTTAACTAAAACATTTACTCCAAAACGTATGCTCTGCCCATTGGGTGAATGGTCCAGTGACTTCACGGGTAAAAGAGATTGCACTAGAGGGCTGCAGACCTCACCCGCACAAGCCAGACGTTGTTGTGCTTCTATGGAAATAAGCTCATGAAATCCAAGTCTTACACAGTAAGCACTGGCACATGTTAATATGATAAGCTGTGTTCTTTTATTGGGCTTTAAAAATGTTTATGTGTGATTTGCACATGGAGGAGTTCACTGTACACAGAGGTGTGTTTGTGACACTCTCTGAGTTTATCTTCCCATTCACTTGAAACTACTCCCCAGAAAACACATTTGCCAGGTTTCCGATTTCTCCACTTAGAATGACTGTTTTTGAAACACATGGCTCTTTAACCCTTCAGGAATTCCCATTGCTCTTAGGCCAGGAACAGAATTCTCCTTCAGGTGCACAGTGCTCTGGAGGAGCCGAATCTTCCTTTCCCACTAAGCCTTCTCTGGACTCCTTCCTCCTGGGAATGGGCCAGCTCAGGGGTCGGCAGACTGCGGCTCGCGAGCCACATGCGGCTCTTTGGCCCCTTGAGTGTGGCTCTTCCACAAAATACCACACAGCCTGGGCGAGTCTTTTGAAGAAGTGGCATTAGAAGTTTAAGTTTGAAAAACTTGGCTCTCCAAAGAAGTTTCAATCACTGTACTGTTGCTATGTGGCTCTGTTGACTAATCAGTTTGCCGAACCCTGGGCCAGCTCGTTCCTGCCTCAGGTCCTGTTGCACATGCTTTCTCCCTCTGCCTGGAAACACCCCCCCCCCCCCTGCCCCAACCTTTAAGCCCAGCTTAGGTTTCCCCTTATATGTAGTCTTATCTCCTTCACAATATGTGCCGTCACGTTTTTCAGTTGCATGTTTGTGATACTTTATTGTCTGTTTCCCCCGTTGGAATGAAACTTTATAAAAGCTGAGCTCATGTCTGTTTCCATCCTTGTTGTCTCCCTGGCATCCGTGCAGAACCTGGCAGATGGTACACACTGAGTGCGTATTTGTTAGAGGAATGGCCACGTGGGTAGCCCGGTCCAAATTAACGTACCTGGCTCACTGTAGAAGCAACTATTCCATTCATCCTTGTTCCTACCCACTTAAAAATTGCATTAATGCAACTTTGTTTTCCCAAGGTAACGACATGATTAGATTTGGCACAGTGACCCGTTCAGCAGCTTTCTTCATTCCGGGGCGGTTCATGGAGCCCGTACAATTGTGACCCCCCAGGGTAGCACACTACAAGTACTCCTGTATTATAATATTTATCCTGAGCTGCCCACACCATTTCCTCATCCCTTCCCCCAACTTGATGCTAGCTAGCCCTTTGGGTTGCTGCTTTGAAGAATCCAGTACAGCTTCTGCCAGAGTCTTCTCTAAGCTGAGTGAGGCTTGCGCTCCCAAGGCAGACAAAACAATGAAGCTACAGCTACTGGGGTGGCAAGATTCAACATGTGTTTGTATCCCAGCCTGGTTGCTTTTCCTCCTCCTCTTCCTTACAGTTAGTATCTCTGCTGCCTTTATCTTCCTCAGACCAGAGGCTCAGGGCTCCAGTTGGGTGGAGAGACTAAAACAATGAGCGAGGGCTCTAACCAGTAAGACTTCTTTCTTCGGCTGGAAGTTGCTTAAGTACTAAATTCAAAACATGAAAGGAAAGGCAATTATAAATATAAGCACCTCCTTTCTAGCACTTAAAATCACCTGCCTGGCTGTCTCCCTCTCCCTCACGGAGCTTTAGCCCAAAGACACAGTAGTCTGTAGAGTGAGGGAGACCACAGAATGAAATAGGAAGGTAATGTTTATGCTGCAAGGACCACGCAGCGTAGAGTAGCCGCGGGGTACGTCCCTGGGCTGTCAGTTTCACAGTGCACGAGCCGCTTTAAATGTTTTCATAACAAAACAAACTTGGCATATAACTTTTTAGGAAAAAAGATGCCTTTTGAACTTGGTCACTGACTGACATGTAATCCCGCACAAAGTATTGGCCTTGGAATGGAGGGTGTTACTCTTTTCCGCCGATGTCAGGAAAGCACTCAGTTGGTTGTGTAAATCCCTCTTTTATTCTCCTCCTGTCTTTCTTGCTTTCAATTCCTCACCACCACCCCCATTTATGTATCCAAAAAAAAAAAAAGGAGAGAGGAATTAGAAAGAGTTTACTATATTATATAACTGGTCCATAACTCATTTTTGGTCAGTGTTGCGTGTCTGTACTCAATCTTGGTAACTTAGAATTGGAAGAGACGTTTCTCCCTGAGGAGAAGCCTCTGAGAGAGGGGTTATCCAGCCTCCCTTGAGCACATCCAGGGACAAAAGCCCGCTTCTTGGGGAGGAGCCCTTCCATTGTGAATAGTTCCAATGGCTAGGCTTTTTTTTTGTGAGCTCTGCCCTTCTGTGGCTCCTCTACCTATTGTCCTAGCTCTATGTGCTGGAGAGAACAACTTCCTTCTATTTCTAAATTACTAAGCAAGACTCACAATATAAGGTTTTCATAAAGCCTTCTTTCCCCCAGCTCAGAGTCCAGTTCCGATTTGCTGTAGGAGCTGGGGTCTAGGCCAGGACTCTCCAGTAGCTCTCCTCCATGAGGGGACTGGGCCGTGTCTAGGCGGCCACTGGGTATTGAGCACGGGAAATGTGGCTAGTGTTGCTGGATTTTCAATTTAACTTACACAATTTACACAGGCGCTGGCTAGTGTACGGGCCAGTGCAGGTCCAGGTTTTTAAAGCCTTCCCCACACACACCTCATCTAGCATGGCAGTGTGAAATACTGTGCCCAGAACAAACGTTAGAGCTGTGGTCTTAGTACGGAATGTGGTTGGACCATCATCACTCTTGCCCCAAATACTGGAAATTAGTGAAGCTGAAGATTTTATTGGCATTGTATGGACCCTGTTGTGATACTGTCTCATATTGAGTTGTCATCAGCTGAGATCCCTAAGTCTGTTGTCATTTTCATGAAAATTGCTTTCAGATAGGACTTTTAAAATGATGGATTAAAAATCCAAAACACTTACCTTATCCCAGCTTAATTTATCTGGTTGCTTCTAGTCCATCATTTTAGCATATCGAGAGGTTTTTGGATCACGAATCATCTATTTGACGAATTTTACTTTTCTTCTGCGGCACCTATCCTGGACTGTTCACTCTCCACCCTTTTTAATACCGATGGTGGACTGAATGCATCCATTTAACTCTGCAACTTCCTAAATTCCTTTACAATGGAATTAAAGGACTGCACACCGATGAGAACAAAGAGAAAATAGGAGACAGTTCAAATGAAAGTGCCACAAACGTTTTGCAGGCAAACGGGCACACTGTATGACTTCAGAGAGAAACGAGTGGATCCCAAAAGAAGCAAACATTTTTTTTTTTTCTTCCCCTGCAGAACCTCAGAATAGTTCAGGAACTCAAGACTGTAAAGGTGGGGTGCAGAGTAAGACTAGAAACGGGGAATTGGTTACACCTCTTTTCTAAGAAGCAGGAAGACCTCTGGATCCTCCTCTGAAACTCAAAGCCCCGTGACTGCCCCTGCCCTGGTGTACAGAAGAAATCTCTTTGGAGATTTGAAACAATCTGGGACACAGGCCCAGCTGGGCAAGGGCCGGGGACTGAGGGCAGCATACTCCACAACCAGTGAAATGAAGTAAAATCTGAGTCCTAACAGTACTGACACCCTCTCCCCCCTTCCCTGCCCTTCAGCTTATTTTCCTGTTAGCCCTCCCAGGCCCTAGCCTTGAAATTTCAGGATTTGAGCAATAAGATGTGGAGATGACTGAGACTGACAGTTAATAGGTCCATTCTGCTCACAGCCCTTAATAAGCTTTTTAGAGCTGCTTTTTATCAAATATGAATGGGTAGCTAGTGATCAGCTGACTTTTGAGGAAGTTTCTAACAATGAAGTCAGAGTCCGAAAGAAAAGGGAGAAGAATATCCGATGGAAGGAGGCGGGAACTTCAAAACAACCTAGTATCTCTGGAGGTAAAAGAATAGTAAAAATAATAATAATAACAATATTCAGAAAATAAGGAGTTCAGCCGTTAAAAATACAATAACAGACACTATTAAAAGGTAATAGAAGAGTTGGGGAAGGAATGGAAGAGGGGAGATAAAAATGAGGAAATGGGGAGCTCCAGTGAGAAGTCTAATGCCTGTCTAATTGGTGTTCCACAAGGGAGGTCTGTGTAAATAGAAGGGAGAGAATTATCAAAGATACCAAGAAATTCCCCAGAACTGAGAAACTCATTTGTAGGCTGAAAGTGAGCCAGCAAACAAGAAAACAAAAACAAAACCTACATTAA